CAATACAGCACACCCCCATGGAAACCATATAATACTATACATTATAAAAGAAAAACATTTAAATGAGGCCATTTAATTTCTAAAAAATTAAAAGCGCACATTTTTATATTATGAATATTATGATAGATAAATACACTTTTCAAGATACTGTCTGGGTAAAAGAGGTTAAAAAAAAAAAAACTTTGCAAGGTAAAAAGATCAATTATTTTCCCTTGATATCCAAGGCAAAGACTGGCTAACACCATATAACTAAGGTACAGTCAAAGAGCCCAGACTCCAAGATCCCACCATATTTACAATGAAATGAAAACCTCTCTATGGCCTGCATCACTCCATGTAATAGAGTTCTTGCCTGACTACTCAACCGGATCTCCTTTCTGCTGATCCTGTTCATGATGTTTCCGTCACAGTGGTCTGCTTTCTGCTCCTATACATATGCTCTTCCTGGTGTAGACACCTTGCGCTTAAATGTTTCCTCTGCCTGATAGGCTTTTTCCCTGGGGTCTTTTCATTGTACCCATTCATTCTCCAGGTCTCAACTGAAAAATACTATCTTGGAGATTTCCCCACCTAAACTGCCTTCCATAAAACCTTGAAAATATCACCTCCTTTATCACCTTCAGAGCACCAACTAACTGTAGTTATCTAACTTTCTATGTTTGCTGTCTCACTGCACTAGCAAATAAGCTCCATGAGGCAAGAGACCTCACTGATACTGTACAGTTGTAACCCTACCACCTAGCAAATCACCTAGAACTGTAATTTGCTTGACCTATTTAAAATATTTGTTGAGTGAATAAATAAACTTGAATTCATGTTTCCTGGCCCCAAACTTAGGCTCTGCTATTATGGGATGAAGAAAGGCCAAACACTAGCAGCAGTCTGGTAAATGAATAGCCATGCCTCAGGCAGAAATCTAAATTCTTCTTCTCATTCCAACTCTATGAATCCTTGCCACATCTCAGGTTTTATTATTTACTTATTTATTTTTTAAGAAACAGAGGGAAACAAGATCTCTAAGTTTCCTTCTATCTCTAAAAATTCTAATTCCGAAATCTGAAAATGCACGTCTCAATTTAGGGCAACACATTAAGAAGTTGCCTTCTCTCTACAGTCACTTTTAATGTACTATTTCACATTTCATAGATAAAGTTACCAATTACCTTCTCTGGTTTAATCTATTTCATATGGGTAATAGCTTTAAAAAATTTGTGAAAATTAATAGTGACAGAAGATGAAACTGTAGCAATATAAGTGGTGCTGACCAAACAGAAAGTGACAAAGGCAACACTTCCAGCCTAGCACCAGCTCTGGTCCAGCCTCGCGCTACAAGGTACAAGCACTGATCCGTGTAGTTCAATTAGGCAAGCTGGTGAAAAAGTTAAAGTCATCAAGAAGATGGATTTATATTTACTAGTGATAATAAAGCCATGTTCATATGGCCTGTTGAGATATTTCTAATGGTAATATGAAATTATCATAATTAACAGAGGCGTTTAATAACTAAGAACCCATAAAACCTTTACACATATTCTTCTGGGGATTTTTTATGTCCTATGCAATTAAATATTTTGTAAAATTTCATTTTATTAAAAGACTTAGAAGCCTCTTTTGAGTTATCTCAATATACTAGTTCAGTAATATATATAGAATTTATGAATAAATTTATGAATAAATATTCTTATATTGGGAGGTGTGCATTGTTTTAACTGATACGCATCTGCAACCAAAAAAAGTTACAAGATACCATTCAAAACAATCCAGTGCCTGTACTTGTTTATCCTGTTTTACATACATTTATAATGCCCACATAATGCCACAAACCCAGTGAATAGTCATTGAGTTCTAAACAAATACACTACCTCTAGAAAGAACTAGATGTGGAATCTAAAAGAGAATTATACTTACCATTACTCCAAAGACAGAGAACCAATGTTTAAACTACCCTTGCAAAAGGAACATGTGCCTGAGTGTACAAGGTATTAAAATCAAAACAGATACAAAAAATTTGGAGAAAAGCCCCAAAAATCATAAGGCAGAATTCTAGAAGAAATTGGATCTAATCTAATCTACCTAATTATTAGTTTCACAGTTGTTTCCCAATGAATCCAAATGTGGCTATATTTCACACAGGTGTGATTTTAAGGTATGCATGGTATCACTGGGAATACTGGATCAGATCAGCAGAGATTTATGATTCAAAGTCAATCTTTAATCAAAATTTTATTTTACTTACCGCAAATCACTATAAACTAACAAGTATCAATGACGAACCTTGCTGGATAAAATACAAGCCAACAAATTAAAATGAAATACAGATGGAATAATGGATAGGCAACATAAATTAAAAGCTTAAATCAAAACTACCTCTAAAAATGTTAGTCTGCAGTCTTGATTGATAAAAAGTTCATTAGAGGCCCTCCCCTCCTATTCTCATGGGTGCCCAGGGCAGGTCAGCCACTGGCCCTGCGGCAGATGACCCCCACTGCTGTCGATCAATTCCCTGCTCAACCAAATATCATGTGTGTGACACCAGATAAGTAACTTAGCTCACAAAATTTTTCTTGTCTTTGCTAATAATCATTAAAAACATAGTATGTGCTATAAAGGATTAGTGTGAACTTTAAGTGTGCATATAAAACATTTGCTGGCCTAGAATAGCATATATGTACGTTAACTATTATTATAATCCAATCCTAACATATAGCATCCAAAATATTTAAGCCATTTGTTTCTGATATACACAAGAAAAGGCAACTCTGCATAAAGCAATTATTATACAGAAGCAATATATATTTTATCTCTATGCTATCACCTATCTGAGGATTCAACATCAGTCATTAACAGAACCTGAAATAAAGGAGGCATACTGTAAGATAGTAAAAACTTAAGTTAGAAAAGAATCCTTGACTTTCTTTAATAATTAGAAGAGATTTCATCACTGTTTGATACATATCCCCGCTGGCTCATTCTAGAATCAGGTTTATTTATTTCTGTAAAATCAAATCAAAGCATGAAAGATTAAGATTTTAAAGACATAGATAGGACGTTATATTAGAATTAATTTTAATGTAGACAAGATCCTAATAAAAAAATAAATAGCAACATAAATATGCGAGGAAATTCAGCAGACTAGCCAAATGTCACAGACAGGCTGAAGTTTTAATGTGATTGATAAAATAAAATGTAGCAAATAAATTAACTCAGTATTGACATGGGAATTCTGGGTTAAACATATTTCATTTGGATTTTGGTCAGAAACATAGATCTTGGAATTAGGTTAATAAAGGTTTGTAATGACTTGCTTCCCTTTTGCTTGCTTTGGGAATCACAAAGATTATATAGCCTGCTGGCACAGCTCAAGCCTAGGGAATCTGCTTCACTAAACTTCAGGGAATCTGAGGACTTACTGGGACAGATGTCTCTAAATACCTCAACTAACTACTTAAATCAATTTCAAAACTAAGGAGAATTCCCATGTGGAATTTTATAAAAAAATTATTGCATTAGTAGCTTTTTTTTTTCATTTTGACATTAAATTTTCCTTTCCAATGTGGATATATAAAACATATAATGACAAATTTCTGCATTGTGTTCACATTTGTTTCTATGATTCATTTCTGATTTTTATTTTGTTGTACACTCTCCTAAGTTTTCCACATAAATGCAAGGATATATTAATGACAGTGAGATGAAAAACAGCTCAATCTAATACCCTTTCATTGTCGTTAACATATACACATACAAAAATGTTCCACTTGAACCTAACATCAATTCAAATCAATCTTAAATTTATGATAATAATATTAATTATTTTATATAATATATTCATTAACATTTCTGGATTGCCTACTGGGAGACAAGAAATGCTCTAATTTAACTTTATGTAACTTTATTAACTGTAACTGTATGAAGCTGGTATCACTATTACCTTCATTTTACAGACCGAAAGATTGAATAACAAAGGGATGATACAACTTTCCTAATTATCACACAGCTAGAAAATGGAAGAGCTGGGATTCAAATCCAGCCAGTGATACTACAGAGTAAAACCTTGTAACTATCACATTCTTCCACCTCTTTATAGCAACATACACAGTGATTTTGCATGTATGCCTTACTGTTATTTAGGGGGGAAAAAACAGTTGCATATGGAAATACTTAGGAATGAAATACCGTATCTCTAATTTATCTTAAAATGTTTAAACAAATAATAGATAAAGCAAATCTTCTATTTATTTAAAATAGTATTCCTGATTAAAAAAGTAAAAAAAAAATTATTATATTGAAAGATTAGACCCATTTTAATGCTATAGCCTCTTTGAAAATAAAATTCAATACCTATGATTTATTCTAATTAAATGCAGTGTCAGAAATTAAGTTTGATGGAGTGTTATTAATAAACCTAATATCATGCTTCATAGAGATTTATAATAATTTGCCCAAACTAGGATAAAAAATTCTGACCCTTACAACATTTGCAGGAATCGGAAACAAATATTCAAATTCTGCTACTTATTTCTCAACTTGAATCACTTTGAACATGAGGGAAATCACATTGTCTGTTTTGACTTTACTTGTAGTCTTCATGTCTGTTCTTGGGGCAATGAAAGGCAGGGTAAGACCTGCCTCACCACCCCAGGGAAAGAAGCCAGGACAGAGAGGTGGGTGGGTGGGAGCCAATCTCTACCTTCAACATCACTTAATGGAGTCCAGAGTGGTTAAGTCCCGAGTGGACTAAAGTCTGTACAGGATGTAGTGGGAGTTCAGATCCAGAGAAAAACATGGCATTCTACTTCAGAAGATGCCAATAATAAGTAGTTAAAGATCACATAAGCACTAAAATTCACCACTAGCTCATTGGGTCTAACTAGTATTCTGTTTATGTTATAAACATTGTCTAAAAACTAAACCTGTTGGGTCAGCTTGCTCTGTAGAGCTAATCAACCTGGCATAATTCAGTTCATCTTAGAATTTAATGTAAAACTTTTAATACTCACATCAAGATCATCCTTTGCATTGTAGTAAACAACTTCATTGCTCTATAAAAAGGAAAAAGAAGAATGCTTTATATATTTGAAGAAAAACATAAAAATTTACTGGATCAAACAAACACTGCATACATTTTATGCACATTTTAAATATGAACGCTTCATAGTATTCCTTTCACAACATATTCAACAAAGGTGAATATAAATTAGTTAACATTTTCTAAGAACATATTAAAACACTACATCAGTGGTACTGAAAAGTGTACCTTGCATTGAGGAAAAATATCCCAGTATAGTTTTGAGAATGCTTTGTCAAAAAATATAGAATTCATAATGCAAATATGTTATACACATACACACACACCCCTAAATCATGAAATTATAGACAAGATAATTAAAATACACACACACACACACACACACACACACACACACACACACAAGTGGCTTAACACTTTGTTGAATCCATGACTTTCAAAATATATATATTGAGTGTTGAAATTATTCTTGAAGAAACACATTACCTGTACAATACTGGAAGAAATTTTTCATGAAATTCAGGTTAGGGAACAAGAATAACTAAATTTAGGTGAAAAAAGTATCAGATGATCTAATAAACTAAATTTTCTTGCATTCTGCCAAGTGGTGAATGAGCATTGGGTCTTCAAGAATAAATGTATATGGGCATTTCTGTTCATTATCAACGTCGCTGAAATACACAATAAATATAAATTATGGACAATAAAGTTAAAATTGTCTCCTTCTGGCTTCATAGAACCTAAGTGTATAAGTGTGCAAAACAGATCCCTAACAGGAAAATAGACCTTGTTTTGTTCCCCAAATTTATTTGCCACAGAATCTGCCTTCCCCTTTGTTGATTTGAGAAACATGCCATGAAACAGAACATCTATAAAATAAGAGTCTCTCTGAAGACCAAACACACCAAAAACTACATAAATAATAGAATCTATGATTCATAAAACTGAATGAAACCCATAAGTTTGAATTTATGTCTTTAAAATCTACAGAATTTTTTAAATTACCATTAATTGATATTTTAAAACAATTAAGTAGCTAAAGAATTTTACCATGGGTAAAAGTTGTAATTTCTGAAGCATTTCCACTGGCAATCATTTTGTAACAAAATCAAAAAACAAAATCAGAACTAATCACATAAACAAAGCAAGAGAACCTTCTAAATCCACCGAGATCCAAATCTAATTACTAGTTTATTGATCCCTCTTGCAACTCTGTAATTTATAACTTAGGAGACAATATTCAATTTTGAGTGTGGATTCCATCAAAAGTTAAATTTATCTGAATAAGTTTATCTTCACTTTACAATTTATTTCTGCCAAGTGTTTGCTTATATTTACAGAATTGAAATGTGTAGAAAACAAGGTGAAACTGCACTAAATTTTAAATGACTCAGCATGATCATTTTTATCACTCATTAAATACCCACATAAATACCTATATACACATACTGCTGTGCCAAGACAGACACAAAATAAGGTACCATATTTTGTTATGTTAACTCTTCTTTGAAGTAATGGATACAGATCAAATATATACAACAATTTTTATGTTGAAGATTACACTTGGCCCATGGTACTAGACCGAATGGACTAAGCTGATAGGTCAATTTTTTCTTATGTGTAACACATGGTCACATATAACAATATAAACATAATTTATGTATTAAAACTAAAATTAAGAGTATCACATACAGTGTCACTAGAGAATAAAGTATGATGAACAAATACTAGTTTTAACTCAATCTTAATATTTTGGTTCTATTAAGATAAATTGTACTGGAAATTATAATAAAATCAAAAAAAGAAAATATGAAATTTTTTCCTTGTTTCTGTACTATATTTTCTATTAAACTTTATTTCTTACATTTCCTTTAGAAACTCTATATTGCTTCTCAAGCTTATTGAAAATGTATACTGTAAAGTTTATTTAAATGTTATCAATTTGCACAAAGTTTTCTGGACTTTGGAAGACATAGTCCCAAAAGGTGAGTTTTTCTTTAAGCAAACTATAATTAATAATAATCATAATCATAATCATAAAATAATACAGCATGTCAAACATCCATACTCCTTGTCACTGGGTATTTTTCATTTCTCCTTTTAAAAAACTTTCTGTATACATTATGCACTTTTTACATGGTCAAAATACAAATGCAAAGGGAAAAAATGTGATGTTTTATAGAAAAAAAACTGTAGAACACTTAAATCAAATATGTCTTCTTAAGTGTGTCTTGTTTTAGTAAGAACACAGACCCTTAGTGGAAGGTACAAGTGATTATATCCACTGTGTTAAAACAAAATATCTTTTTTACCAATAAATTTGACATTGCTGTTTGCTTCAAAGCAATTTTTACCTCACTTTTTATAAATGTACTTTTCTTTCTCAAACCCCAAACTTTGCACAGCATGCACAATTCATTATTCCCTTATTTAACAAAAAAGCTCAATTGATCAATTTTCGTAGGCATAAATCTATGTAAGGAATCAGGATTTGGGGGAACCATAATTGTGCATTTAATCTGTCAACCCAGCCCACCTACATGGCAATAAGACACTAAGGAAATGGAAAACATTCATAGAGCATTTAATCTATGTTACCCTATGAAATAATTTTCCAGTCTGAGTTGACCATACTTTCTTATAGAAAATTCAATGATTGCTTCTACTGTGGCTTTGGTTTAGTTTCAGATTTAGCTTGGATATAATTTAAAATATAAGTTTGGGAAAAACCATAATTTGGTATAGCTATAATTCTCTTTCCTAAGACACTCATTCATAGTTATCTCTTCAATTCATACACATGTATATTGTACAGCTATGTTAAACTAAATCAGTCGGAAATCAGATCACTTCAATCACTGAATCGCCAAAATATATCCAGAACCAAACTTGACAGAATTGGGATAAAGGACAGTCCTCAGGAAAAAAGGGTAACTCACACTGAATCAATGTTCTGATGTTTCTATAGGGATGCATTTTGGTTAAAAATAACTCTGTTCTAGAAGAAAAAGAAGAGAGGAAATTATACAGAAATAGTTAAATGGCCTGAGGGGGACAGAATTAAAAAAGAGGTAAAAGAATCAGCTGAAATCCTCTCCCTTTACCTTGTCCCTACCTCCAACCCTGAGTAGATTTGGTACAGGGAGATTTTGGGGCTTCACAACAGAGGCAGCCACACCCTACTCGCTCAACAATACTTTGGCGACCTCACTGCTGTGCTGGAGAAACAAAGATCAAGGCTATCTATACCCCGGCCACGAGAAGCCAAGTGCTCACCTCCCAATTCATATGTGGCAAGAAATGGAGGCAACTGAGCCAGTCATTGTGATTTGCTGTAACTGAAAAATACCTCTTATATTATCTTTGGGTAGCATGACCACATAAATCAAAACTTTCCCAGGTTTCAAAACAAATTAATAAGAATTTCAGATAGTTGAGACATTCATTCTATGTTAATCAATTCAACCGTGTGTGTGTGTGTGTGTGTGTGTGTGTGTGTGTGTTTCCTTCTGAATCAATTACCTACCCTATCACTCAAAATTCCCTTGGTCCCTCCTCCAGAAAGTATACAATTATATCAGTATCATGTAATACTTTAAAACTATGGCACATAAAGTAATTACCACAGGCACAAATTATAGAATTGAGTTAACCTGTTTCTCTATTATCCTTCTGGCTAAATGTTTTTTATGGAAATTACTAAACATCATCATCTTGGAAGGTATTTCACACTAGCACAGAAGTTGCTGGTGGACTTTAGTGCATTATGTGCAGAACAATAGGATATAGCCAGCAACAGCCTCACACTAGGTTCACTGATGAGTTAAACCTTTAGAGAGCATTTTTTTTCATAATTTAAGCACCACCAGATGACAAGAATAAATTGTTTCATTTCTGATTTTTAACGAAGTAGTTTATTTATTTATTATCTCCTTGAAACAAATTTACTGGAATGTTCCGTGCTAATATAATACTGCTGCTTACTGAAATTTAAAACACCCCCTAGCAAGTTGAGAGATAAATTACTTCACTTTCCCAGCATCTACTGGGAGTCAAAAATTAAATCTAGGCAAAACAGACCACTCCATCTTAAAAATGTATATTGTGAGTGACAGTCCGTTGCATGCCACCTTCTTATAAAGGCTGGCCTCTGATGAATAGTTCGTTAAAAGTCTGAAGTGTAAGTACACAGCTTCCACGTGGAAGTAAGATGTTGCCAAGGGTAAGATCAAATATTAGAACTGAAAATCACATTTTATAGGTAACATCTAAGAATAAGACACACTCAAAATTCAAATGGAGATTAATTTCTTGCCCAGTTTACTAAATCTCTTTTCTTGGCTAAACACCTTACCCTGAACATGATCCATAGCCTGACAAATTTGGGGGAACTATTGTCTGTCAGTCACTTTTTAAAAAATGTATTCTTACTGTTATTTTTTTCATGCTTCAGTTACAAATATGAAGTCACTCAGTGAACATTAAAGACACTCTTGTTATAAATGAGCATATTAATGATTCCTGCCAACCAAGATTCACACTATTTAGCTCAAATGATAACTCAGATTTTCTGATTAATATAACTTCATAACAATCTAACCTGGTACTGTATATGCCCCTTCGATTGTGCCGAAGTCAAACGTGGTACCTGAGGTGAGGCCATCCTCAGCACCGTAGCTCTGTGTGGACAGAACTGAGCAGCTGTGGGGGGTGCGTGTGTGTGTGCGTGTGTGTGTGTGTGTGTGTGTGTGTGGTGGTACTTTGGGAATGGTGGGTGGGGTGGGAGGTGTGGACAGAACTGAGCAGCTGTGGGGGGTGTGTGCGTGCGTGTGTGTGTGTGTTTGTGTGTGTGTGTGGTGGTGCTTTGGGAATGGGGAGTGGGGTGGGAGGTGTGGAGGGAGGGTGGTGACAGGGAAGCAGGGGGAACATGAATGTGAGCAAATGTTTCCAAAGAAAGCTGAAAGCAGCAGAAGCAAGCAGTAAAGTAAAGAAGCCAAGGAATCAAAATTGTGT